GGTCTTGGTCACCATGTCTGGCTGATTCTATGGTAACTATCCTGCACTGCTGGAGGACCTTGAGGTTCATGGTTGGGGGACCATGAGAGCATCAAGGCTCTGAGGGCAAGGCCTCGGCTGCCTTGCCACCCAGATCCAGGGCTCCTTTGATTTCAGGACACTCCGTCTCCTGCAGGTGTCCTGGACCCCAGCTCCAGAGCTCATTTCTTTGTGTACTCAGTGTGGGAAGGACTGCTTGGTGTGCATTTATATTCGTAGTCACATTTGCCCACCAGGCACATTGCTGTAGCAGGCAGAATCCTCTACTGAACAACATATTTGCTCTGCAGAGCTGGTTGAAGTTTAACACCAAGGGTCTGCCTTCATAATCTTCACGGAGAATGCTGAGCAGCGTACCCGGGGGGCAAGGCAGAGGCTGAGCTGTCTGAGTGAGGACAGTCCAGGCTACTGTTTCTCAAGTCGGGTTTTAAATCTCAAGCCCTTCCTTTCCCCCATTTTGACTTTATTTTATAAAAGATTTCAAACATATAAAAAAAGTAGAGGTGAAACACTCATAGACCTATCACCTAGATTGAACAATTTCATCTTTTTTTGCAGTATTTTATCTTATTTTTTAAAAAGATTTTATTTATTTATTTGAGAGAGAGAGCGAGCATGAGCAGGGAGGGGGGGAGGGGGAAAGGCACAGGCAGAAGCAGACTCCCTGCTGAGCAGGGAGCCCCGATCCCAGGATCCTGAGATCATGACCTGAGCCGAAGGCAGACGCTTAATCAACTGAGACACCCAGACATCCCTTTTTGCAGTGTTTGAAAGTATGTGATGAACACAATGACAGTTCACTTCTAAACACTTCAGCATATATCTCAAAAATACAAGGGCGTTTTTCAACATAACCACAATACCATGATCACATCTAGCAAAATAAATAATAATTTAAAAATACTATCTAAGACTGGTTCATAGTTAAAATCGCTCTTTAACATCTTTTAGAGTGCTTTTTTTTTTTTTTT